TCTGGGCAAAGTGTAGGAGATAAGGACATGATTGCCTCCTTTGCGGGCAACTATTTGGACTGTGTTGTTCGGCCCGTGGGGCCTACCACAAGTCCCATTTTGATAATCTGAACCGTTCAATATGTAGAACTCGTCGAGTACTATATGTTTATAAAAAATCACATTGATCGGATATCGAAATTACATTGATCAAAATAGTTTTTGTTCACCAGTTAACTATAACACCATCCTTTTTTTATACAAAACTGATTTGATCATATAGTTAGCGATATCCGATCAACGTGATTTTTTACAAGCATATAGTATACAATGAGTTCTACATATTGAACGGTTCAGATTATCAAAATGTGATCCGTGGTGGCCTCTACGGGCCAAACAACACAGTCTAAATGGTTACCTGCGAAGGTGGCAATCATTTCTAGACTAGTACAGCAGACCAATAACACGGACAACCCATCACTTCAGCAGAAAGTTGAGTTGTATTTTTTTATGTGTAATTTATTTGTTTTATATTTTTTTTTGTGTGAATAGTGATACCTTTTTAATTTTTTAAACAACTTTTTGACTTTTTATCTTTTTCAAGACATTATTATTAAATTGAAACTACTCAAATATATCATTTTTAAATAGGTAGTGCTACATACACTAATTAGTGTACTAACTAATATGCCAACACTAGTTATGATATCATGATTGACTCTACTCATTAATTACATTACAAATACTAAAAATCTTTTAAATTATGTCACATTATCAATTAATATACTGATTAATGCATATAACATTATTCTTTTTAAATTGATCAGCAGAAAATTTGACTTAGTAATTATCTAACACTTTTCATGTAAAATTTCGAACTCAATTCTTAGAGGGAGAAATTTAATACCTTTTATGATTTATTTCTTCCTCCTTATTATGGAGTTGTTGAGCTTGGTGGGTTGACAAAAAAGGGAATGGTGAATTTTCTCAACTTTTTGCTCTATGCGGTGGGCTACACCTCAATGATTTATTACAATATATAAATATTAAAAAAATAGAAATGTTTGGAGCTCCTTTCTGGGGTTCTATAACCCTCAATTTGATCTTAATCCTTGATGTGTGTGTGGTCCACTCATGTATGTGTGAGTCCCACATTAAGAGTAGTTGGGATGAAATTGAGAATTGTAAGGGTCATGTATGTGTGGGGTCTCTATCACAAATGTTAAAAAAATAATATGCAAGTCTACATTCTAAATTTAACAATTTATTAATAAGATAATTAGTTGATAATAAGAGAATAATTAAGAAAAAGTTAATTTAGATATTTTAATAGAATATCACATTACTAAATATACAAAGTGAATGCAATTTTTGACCTGAATAATAATACACATAAATATTTTAAGGACAAACATTTTTGCCGTCAAAAGTGAAAACATTATTACAAAAAAATATTAAGATTCAAATTTCAACCAAATATTTTTATCCTCAAAAGTGAAAATATATTATTACATAAAAATATTGGGTTGCAAATTCAATCGGTAGGAAAAGATGGTCCGAGAAAGTAAATAAATGACGGCTAGTGATAAAATTTTGAAATATCACTGGTTAATGTATTTTTAGTAATAAAATAATTTAGTGTTAAAAAGGTTTATTTTTTGACAAAAAAATTGTTCTAAAAAGGATTTTATAAAGTTTAATATCTCAAGTTATTATTAGAACAAAATAAATTAAAACCCAGTTTACATTAAATTTATAATGTTTAATTAAATCTCTATTTATTCATTTATGATCCGGACAAAATGATTGAACGATTAAGTTAGTTTACCCAAGTTAAAAAGATATTTTGAGTTTGATTGTTTGGGGTGTTCTAAATAAATATACTTTTTGTCTTTTTAGACTAAAAAGTTAAGGAAAAAAATATAGATGTTTGGATTAACTTTTTGTCTTTTTATGAAAAAATGTGTAGTAAAAAATTGTATAAATAAGTGTATAAGAAAAGTAAGTGTAATAGGCTCTACGGCATATTTTTCTGGGCAAAATGTAGGAGATAAGGACATGATTGCCTCCTTCGCGGGCAACTATTTGGACTGTGTTGTTCGGCCGGTGGGGCCTACCACAAGTCCCATTTTGATAATCTGAACCGTTCAATATGTAGAACTCGTCGTGTACTATATGTTTATAAAAAATCACATTGATCGGATATCGAAATTACATTGATCAAAATAGTTTTTGTTCACCAGTTAACTATAACACCATCCTTTTTTTTATACAAAACTGATTTGATCATATAGTTAGCGATATCCGATCAACATGATTTTTTACAAGCATATAGTACACAATGAGTTCTACATATTGAACGGTTCAGATTATCAAAATGTGATCCGTGGTGGCCTCCACAGGCCAAACAACACAGTCTAAATGGTTGCCTGCAAAGGAGGCAATCATTTCTAGGCTAGTACAACAGACCAATCACACGGACAACCCATCACTCCAGCAGAAAGTTGAGTTGTATTTTTTTATGTGTACATTTATTTGTTTTATATTTTTTTTTTATGTGAATAGTGATACCTTTTTAATTTTTTAAATAACTTTTTGACTTTTTATCTTTTTCAAGACATTATTATTAAATTGAAACTACTCAAATATATCATTTTTAAATCGGTAGTGCTACATACACTAATTAGTGTACTAACTAATATGCTAACACTAGTTATGATATTATGATTGACTCTACTCATTAATTACATTACAAATACCAAAAATCTTTTAAATTATGTCGCATTATCAATTAATATACTAATTAATATACTGATTGGTGCATATAACATTATTCTTTTTAAATTGATCAGCAGAAAATTTGACTTAGTAATTATCTAACACTTTTCATGTAAAATTTCGAACTCAATTCTAAGAGGGAGAAATTTAATACCTTTTATGATTTATTTCTTCCTCCTTATTATGGAGTTGTTGAGCTTGGTGGGTTGACAAAAAAAGGAATGGTGAATTTTCTCAACTTTTTGCTCTATGCGGTGGGCTACACCTCAATGATTTATTATAATATATAAATATTAAAAAAATAGAAATGTTTGGAACTCCTTTCTTGGGTTCTATAACCCTCAATTTGATCTTGATCCTTGATGTGTGTGTGGTCCACTCATGTATGTGTGAGTCCCACATTAAGAGTAGTTGGGATGAAATTGAGAATTGTAAGGGTCATGTATGTGCGGGGGTCTCTATCACAATTGTTAAAAAAATAATATGCAAGTCTACATTCTAAATTTAACAATTTATTAATAAGATAATTAGTTAATAATAAGAGAATAATTAAGAAAAATTTGATTTAGATGTTTTAATAGAATATCACATTACTAAATATACAAAGTGAATGTAATTTTTGACCTGAATAATAATACACATAAATATTTTAAGGACAAACATTTTTGCCGTCAAAAGTGAAAACATTATTACAAAAAATATTAAGATTCAAATTTCAACCAAATATTTTTAGGGATTTTTGGTGGAACCCCCCTTTTAGGCCTTTTTATTAGGGTAAAGGATAACCCAATTACTTTTCTTTCACAAAAAATATTAAGATTCAAATTTCAACCAAATATTTTTAGGGATTTTTGGTGGAACCCCCCTTTTAGGCCTTTTTATTAGGGTAAAGGATAACCCAATTACTTTTCTTTCAAAAAGTCCCTGAGTAAGAAATGCTTACCTCAATAAGGACATTTTATAATTTCTATTTTTTTTTATCACAATATTGCCCTTATATATATAGTATCATACGTATGAAAAATTTGAAATCTGAGCTCGTAGCCGATGAAGACGATGAGGACGATCTCCAAATCAATCATACTTCACAAAATCGATGAAGACGATCTCCAAATCTGAAGATCTCGCAGCCGAACATCTCTCACTTGTTCAACAATAGACGATCTCGCAACCGAACATCTCTTACTTGGTGGCCGATGATCAACACTCTCAATTAAACGAAAGTTTCATTGAGATTTGTGATTGTTGATCGAGTTGTAGAGGTTTTTCTTCTCAATTAGGTATGTTGATTTGTAATTAATTTTTTTTATTTTTGTTTGTTTGATTTATTTTTGTTGTGTTTGATCTGATTTCGTTTGACAGAATCAGAGTAAAATTTTACTCTGGTTCTATTGCTGTGCCTTTTGTTTCAGAGAATGAGAGTAAAATTTTACTCTGGTCCGAATCCTCTGTTTACAATGAGAGTAAAATTTTACTTTTATGCAGAGTAAAATTTTACTTTTATACAGAGTAAAATTTCAGAGTAAAATTTTACTCTTAGATTCAGAGTAAAATTTTACTCTTATGCAGAGTAAAATTTTACTTTTATGTACTTTTAGATTCCTTTTGTAACATTTTACTCCTATATCAGAGTAAAATTTTACTCAGCTTGATGGCTCTGTTTACAATGAGAGTAAAATTTTATATTTATACAGAGTAAAATTTTACTTTCAAATTCAGGCCGCAACATTTTTACTCTTAAATTCAGAGTAAAATTTTACTTTTTTGCAGAATAAAATTTTTCTTTTAGATTCCTTTTGAAACATTTTACTCCTATATCAGAGTAAAATTTTACTCTGATTCGATTGCTCTGTTTACAATGAGAGTAAAATTTTACTTTTATACAGAGTAAAATTTTACTTTTATACCGAGTAAAATTTTACTTCGAAATTTAGGCCGCAACATTTTACTTTTAGAGTCAGAGTAAAATTTTACTTTTATGCAGAGTAAAATTTTACTTTTATGCAGAATAAAATTTTACTTTTGGTGACACACTGTATGATTTGCCAATCTTTGGCAAACTAAATAGTAAAAATCAACTCTAAAATATAGTACAATGTTACACTAAACCACAGTAAAATTTTATCAATTCAAACTAAACACAAATTGTAGTGACAGTAAAATTTTACTTTGATAGTGATAGTAAAATTTTACTTTGATAGTGACAGTAAAATTTTACTGTTAATTGATTGCAGATTTGTAAAATGGTTCCACCTCTTATGTTGTTATGCAAGTATGGTGATCGTACCATTGAGTTCAAGGTTGTATCAAACTGCACGTTGAAGGATTTAACTGATTTCTTAAGTTGTAAATTGAAGAAGTTTGACAATAGTGGTTGCATACTGTTATCGTACTGTTTGCCTGGACATTCGCAATGCATGATTGATGATGATTCTGATTTTCAGAATATGTTGTCGCTTGTTTATCCCCTTGGTGTTGACCGGGTTGATGTGACTATTACTGAAATGGGCATTTCAAATGAAAAACATGGAGTTGGAGAATCATGGGACGCTACTGGATCCAACATTACTGATGATGAAATGGATTTACTCTCTATGTTTTGTCAACATGAAGAAAGGACTTTGTTGTCTTCTGGATGGGTGAATGGAATTACTCATGTAGGTCAAAGATTTATTGGAGGTGCAAAGGATTTTCGGACTGCATTATGTAAATATGCCATTGAGATAGGACTTGAGTTTGTGTATGTGAAGAATGAGAAGTGTCGGGTCACTGCTGTGTGTTCAATGCGGGAGTCGAAAGCTTGTTTATGGCGAGTATATGCATCTCTGGAAAGTGCTAATAATTTTTTCTACATTAGGACTCTACATGATGAGCATACTTGTGGAGCTGCAATTCGTACTTCTAAAAACTCAAGGATGAGTTCAAATTTGGTTGCAAGTTTGATTGTTAATGAAGTTCGTGGGAATTCCCAAACTCGTCCAATTGATGTTGTGCGTCAATTTACAGATCAATACGGGCTCACCATTACGTACAATCACGCTTGGTTGGGAGTTGAGAAAGCTAAGACTACTACTTTTGGAGATTTCTCTATGTCTTATGATGAGATTCGATGGTATATAGATATTGTGATGAGCACAAATCCTGGTAGCTATTTGCGTCTTGACTATAACCATCAAAGTGGACGGTTCAAGAGGTTTTTTGTTGCATTTAATGCTTCCATTCAAGGGTTAGGCATTGTCGTCCTCTATTGTTTATCGATGGAACTTTTCTGAAGGGGAAATATAAGGGCACCTTGTTAACAGCTACAGCGAAGGATGGGGATCAAGGTAGATATTACTATAGTTTATTCCAAAGTAACAAGTTACTTATTCTCAGATTAACATGTTATTGTTATTCAGAGTAAAAATCTACTTTATTTGTCCTTTTCGTTTAAGATACTTACTAATTGTAAAATGTTATATTTCAGGTTTTTTCCCGCTTGCAATGGCAATTGTCGAAACAGAGACTACAGACAGTTGGGAATGGTTTTTTATGCATTTGTCGAATATATTGTTGGATGAAAGACCAATTACCTTCATATCTGATCGGAACGCTGGACTTTTGGAGGCTTTACCCAAGGTTTTACCTACTGCTTACCACTATTTTTGTCTCCAACACTTGAAGGCCAATTTGAGGGATAGGTTCTCTGGTCCAAGTTTCAGCAATACTTTCAGGAGTAGAATAGTTTTTTTGTTTTCTTTGTGTGCTTACGCTCCGACAGTGGGATGTTTTTATCAGTGCTTGAAAGAATTACAAGATGAAGGAAAATGGATCGTTTGTGGGTTTCTATCCAATTTGCCCTATGACAAGTGGACTAATGCATATTTTAAAGGACAAAAATACGGTGAAATGCACTCGAATGTGGCAGAGTCTTTCAATTCATGGATCCGTCAAGCTTGCCATTTGCCCACTACAAAGATGATTGATTCAATTAGGTTGAAGATCATGGATTTGATGTCGAGAATGAGAGAGCAAGCTAAGAAATGGAATACTTTTCTTTGTCTGGAGATGGATTCAACATTAGTAAATGCTCTTAAAAGTGGAAGAACTTGGTTGGTTAGTCGTTCAAGTGATCACGTTTTTGAGGTTCAATCCCGGCCATCGGTTAGCGTTGACCTCTTGAATAGAACTTGCTCATGTTACCAATGGCAATTAAATGGATTTCTTTGTGCTCACGCGGAAACCGCTATCCAAAAGAGCGGAGGTGATTTGTATGCACATGTGGAACCATTTTATTACACTAGCAAGTTCAAAGATTGCTATGCTGAGTCCATTTATCCAATACCCACTGTTGAGAAACCTCTTGTAGCTATGGATGATCAGAGTAAAATTTTACTTTTAGATTTAGAGTCCAAATATTACTCGCCTTTCAGAGTAAAATTTTACTTTCATACAGAGTAAAATTTTACTTTTGTACAGAGTAAAATTTTACTTTTAGATTTAGAGTCCAAATATTACTCGCCTTTCAGAGTAAAATTTTACTTTCATACAGAGTAAAATTTTACTTTTGTACAGAGTAAAATTTTACTTTTAGATTTAGAGTCCAAATATTACTCGCCTTTCAGAGTAAAATTTTACTTTCATACAGAGTAAAATTTTACTTTTGTACAGAATAAAATTTTACTTTTAGATTTAGAGTCCAAATATTACTCGCCTTTCAGAGTAAAATTTTACTTTCATACAGAGTAAAATTTTACTTTTATACAGAGTAAAATTTTACTTATTCCGGCTGTAACATTTTGCTCTTAGATTCAGAGTTTAAAATTTTACCTTATTTCAAAGTAAAATTTTACTTTTATGGAGGGTAAAATTTTACTTTAGTGCAGAGTAACATTTTGCTTTTAGATGTAGAGTCCAAATTTTACTCGCCTTTCAGAGTAAAATTTTACTTTCATACAGAGTAAAATTTTACTTTTGTACAGAATAAAATTTTACTTTTAGATTTAGAGTCCAAATATTACTCGCCTTTCAGAGTAAAATTTTACTTTCATACAGAGTAAAATTTTACTTTCATACAGAGTAAAATTTTACTTTTGTACAGAGTAAAATTTTACTTTTATACAGAGTAAAATTTTACTTATTCCGGCTGTAACATTTTGCTCTTAGATTCAGAGTGTACATTTTACCCTTATTTCAGAGTAAAATTTTACTTTTATGCAGAGTAAAATTTTACTTTCAGATTCTTCTGGTAACATTTTACTCTTATTTCAGAGTAAAATTTTACTTTTATGCAGAGTAAAATTTTACTTTTATGCAGAGTAAAAGTTTACTTCATTTCAGAGTAAAATTTTACTTCTTTTCAAAGTAAAATTTTGCTTTATTTCAGAAAATATGTTAGTCCCCTTAGAAAAACATTTCCAACTTGCACCAAAATCCACAACACACAAACTCCCCTGATGATCATCATGCAATCTTTGTGCAAAAAAAATCTAACAACACAACTACATATATCATCAACATTCATTTCCACTCAAAACAACATTCATAGCAACATTCATTTCGCTTACATTCCCAGTCAAAACAAAATTCATAGCAACATTCATTCCAACATTCATAGCAACATTCAGTCAAAAAAAATTTAAGCCTCTACCTGTCTCATTGTATTCTATCCATAACAACATTCATTCCCAGTCAAAACAAATATCCTTGTATAATAATCACCAAACTACAGTAAAATTTACTAGAACAATAGACATAGCATCTACTATCTAATACTCTTTTAGTATTCTTTCACTTACAATTACTTTTTCACCGTTCTTTCATTTACAAAAATCGAAATTACAAAAATCATTCACAGTAGTGCCCCAGAACTTGTCCACATTGTCATCCTTGAGGTCTTAGCTCTTGCCCATTTTTTTTTGAGGTTGAACTGTTCCTCAATCCATACTTTTGGATAATCATTCAAAAATTGATGCACTATTGACGCTCGGAAATTGTTAATTTCATCATCTTCTATAGAATTTGCAATAGGCTCATCTCTTATGATTTGGCGCAAGATATAACATACAATAATTCCACAATCAACACTGTTAAATAAAAATCAATATCTTGTTAGATTTAGTCAAATTTGAAAACTACCAATTCAAGCATGTAATAGTAGCGTGAAATACTTACGATGTTGGGCGTTGTTGTGGACTATCTTTCACCGAAACCAAGTTTGCAAACTTTCTTCTACCTCTCTTCGTTTTATTGGCCAACTTGCTATCCACATATGTTATCTAACATCATTGCATAATTGTTTGGTCACGATTAAATTCAAGAATAAAACACAACAAAAAATTACTGTTAATATGATGCAAAGCACTTACAATCTTTTTTGCATCCTTAAGGTAAGGATCTTCTCTGTTGTCTCTTGGCCTTAAAGAATTGTAATGTCTCCACTCATCAAATTCAGTGTCAAATACAAGAAGTGTCCAGTGGTAGGGTTTTTCTTCCTTTTTGTTCCCATTGGAATTCATGCAAAAATGAAGGTATCTATATCCACTCAAATCTTGTTCAAGGACTTTATCAATTAAATGATTTCTCAGCTCCCCATAACCCCATTTCACTAAAGACTGCATTTAATCATATAAGAGTGTCATGTCTCAAGTTGTGTTAGTGACACACTGTATGAGTTGTCAATCTTTGGCAAACCAAATAGTAAAAATTAACTCCAAAATACAGTACAATGTTACACTAAACCATAGTAAAAATTTATCAATTCAAACTAAATACAAATTTATGGCTTACCCAACAAAGGCTTGAGAAAAAGAATGATTTATTCTTTTCTGGCTTCTTGACTTGTTGCTCAATCTCAAGCATTTCTATGAAGCTGTCAATGACCTACAAAAACAAAAATCAATTAAATATATGTTAATAAAATAAACTATTTTTAGTTATTAAAGTGAACACTAGTCATTGAAACTTGTATGGCCACTTACATTATTTGCAGTATCACCATTTCTCAGAATTGCATCCACATCATGCAATGTAACATATATTCCATTTCCTGTGCCGGACCATATGATTGCACTAGTCATAAGGTAAAAAAAATGTTGATTAACACGTTGCAGTTTGATAACAGTAAAAATCTGTTGTTTGACAAAATTAAAATGGTCTTACTCTGTGGTTTCCAAATTGTAAATCTTGTTCAGTAGACACTTATCATTCTCATCAAGCAATTTGCATATTGCAGCCTTATTTGGAAACAAAACCCTTTCAACTGGCTTTGCTTGGCTTAGAGACAAGTTGTCAACACAAATAAATTCTTTTAACATCACTTCAATTGCTTGTTTTGTGGTCTTTTTTTTCTTTGCCTCTCTTAGCTCACATTCAAAATCAAACATCTCTTTTTTCTTCCTCGCCTTGATTTTGATTTTCCTGACCATGGATGTTTGCAATGGCTCTACGACTATAGGTGATTCTTTCAATGTACTTTGAATCCCAATGTTTTGCTCTTGTTCTACTCCTTCAGCATGTGGCATTTCTTTAGAAGCAAAACCTTGGGTAGTCGCATGAACTGCATTTTCTTCAATCTGTTCAACCAACTGTTTATTTTCAGATTCGAGTACTTTAATCTCCTTTCTCAGTTTCTCCATTTCTTTCTCTGTGTTGCTTATTTTTTCCATCGTTTCTTTTGTTTTTGCCTCTTGATCCTCTTATATTTTTTGCATTGTTTCCCTCATTTTCTTCAGTTCTTCAACCAACGCCATATTTTGACTTTTCAGCCTTTTGTTTTCCTTTTGAAGATCAATGAAGTCCTTCAAAGGTTGATCATCTCCTAAAGCTTCAGCTACATGATCTTCATCTTCTTCAGTCTCCAAATTTTCCTCCATGTCCAATGCATCTTCTTTAGTCTCGAAATTTTCCTCCATGTCCAATGCATCTTCTTCAGTCTCCAAATTTTCATCTATTTCCAATGCATCTTCTTCATCATCATTGCAAATGAGGGCCATTTCTTCTCTGGAAATGGGCTTCAGTTCATTGTGATTTACCTGCATTTGAAAAATAGAAAAAGAAAAGAAGCCAGCAATTAAGCAAACTTTAACCACTAGAGTAAAATTTTACTCTGTTTCAAAGTAAAAGTTTACTCTGATTGTAAGTAAACTTTTACTCTAATTTTAAGTAAACATTTACTCTGTTCAAGAGTAAGTAAAAGTTTACTCTGATTTAAAGTAAACTTTTACTCTGATTTTAAGTAAACATTTACTCTGTTCAAGAGTAAGTAAAAGTTTACTTTGACGGTAAGTAAAAGTTTACTCTGATTTAAAGTAAACTTTTACTCTGTTCAAGAGTAAGTAAAATTTTACTCTGACTGTAAGTAAAATTTTACTCTGATTTAAAGTAAACTTTTACTCTGATTTAAAGAAACTTTTTACTCTGTTCAAGAGTAATTAAAATTTTACTCTGACTGCAAGTAAAAGTTTACTCTGATTTAAAGTAAAAGTTTACTCTGATTTAAACTTTTACTCTGTTAAAGAGTAAGTAAAATTTTACTCTGATTGTAAGTAAACTTTTACACTGATTTAAAGTAAACTTTTACTCTCTTCAAGAGTAAGTAAAATTTTACTCTGTTTCAAAGTAAAAGTTTACTCTGATTGTAAGTAAAATTTTACTCTGTTCAAGAGTAAGTAAAATTTTACTATGTTTCAAAGTAAAAGTTTACTCTGACTGTAAGTAGACTTTTACTCTGTTCAAGAGTAAGATTTTATTATGTAAGTATAATTTGAAACAAAGTGAACCAGTAAGGCTGAGTTTGGAAAGATGATACCTCTTCGGGCTTTAGTGTTTGCAATGACCTCTTCATTAGCTTTTTCCTCAATGTTGACAAGTCCCATCGAAGGAGCCTTGGACACAAATTTTTTCCTTGAGGTTGAATGAGGGTAGTATGCTCGCATAACCAGTACTAAAAAATAAAAAATCAAAATTAGTTAATTCTCTAAAGATACATTGCATAATATTGAAAGTAGTTCAATTTACTTACCAAAAGAAGAAGTACACATCCAGTGACATTTTCAGGACTTCCTAATGAAGAATGGATTGAAGTAGTCAACGTGGATGCAACTACAGTCGACCATGCATACGAATTCATCATTTCCAAATCTTCTACAAGGGCGACAAAGGCCCATCCAACTGTTAGACCAGTTGTTGGTAATAGGAAAGTCGCCACAACAAATAGACACATGATTCGTGCAACATCCTCAACATCAACTCTCGTTGTGCCTTCCAACTCATCTCCTAATGCCTCTCGCAAACTCTTTACAGATATTCTTGACACATTACGAAACCTTCTCTGCACAAAAGGTGATTCTTGTTTCTACCCATATGACACATCTACTTTTTTCATTCCCGATTTTATCCCAAAAATCAAAGTAACATCACTGTCCCGTATGTCACATGTTTTCCCCCCAAGCTTAAATCCCTTTGCATGAAAGTCATAAGATTTGATCACATCCATGACATTATCATCAACTTTCTTGAACTTCTTTAACACCACATCATCTTTCTTCCAAAAACATTTAAACAACATTCCAAAAGGTGTTCTCTCAAGGGCAGTAATGTCTCTTTTAGTGAACCTCGTGTCTTGCATTATGTTTATCAATGAAACAATATTTGACCTATATTGTTTCATATAGTTCTCCCTCTCCCGTACTCCATGTACAATATTCAACTTCGAAGAACTTTCTTCACTACTTTCGCTCTTTTTTTTAGGGACTTTCTTCTTTTGTATAACCGTTTGTGGAACTTCAAAATCATCATCATCATCATCATCATCACCACATTTGCTTCTTCTAACAACCATTTTCAAACACTAAAAAGTTTTCCTATATCAACAGTGTAACATTTTACTATAAACAACAATGTGACAAAACAAATAAACACTAAACAAAATGCACAAGCATTGTAATGAGACAGTAAAATTTTACTCTGTTTGGCAGTAAAACTTTACTTTTATTGAAAGTAAAATTTTACTCTGATTGGAAGTAAAATTTTACTCTGAAAAATTCATGAAGCAAGTCAATTTGAAAGCATTGAAATTGCAGGACCAAAACACTAGAGAAATCAAAGCGTAATGAGCAAAGGCTAGCGTTAAATTAAAATTTTACTCTATTTTAAGTAAAATTCTACTCTCATTATAAATAAGTGAATTTGAAAGCATTGAAATGCCAGGATCAAAACACTACAGAAATCAAAGCGTAATGAGCAAAGGCTAGAGTTAAAGTAAAATTTTACTCTGTAATAAGTAAAATTTTACTCTCATTATAAGCAAGTGAATTTGAAAGCATTGAAATGCTAGGACCAAAACACTACAGAAATCAAAGCGCAATGAGCAAAGGCTAGAGTTAAAGTAAAATTTTACTCTGTAAAAATTAAAATTTTACTCTCATTATATTTAAAAGAAAAATTTTACTCTCATTATAAGTAAAATTTTATTCTGGTTGGAAGTAAAATTTTACTCTGAAAAATTCATGAAGCAAGTGAATTTCAAAGCATTGAAATTGTAGGACCAAAACACTACAGAAATCAAAGTGTAATGAGCAAAGGCTAGAGTTAAAGTAAAATTTTACTCTGTAATTCCGAAATACCTACATTAGTTTTCAAAATTTTTAAACCTTAACATTCTCACATGATTTAGTAATTTAAAGTATTCTAAGATAATGATAAAATTTTTAGAACAGATGATCCTTAGTCCAACCAAAAATCCCAAATTCTACTCACCCAACATAATCTCATACACCACTCCCAAAATGAAAACAAACCCACGCAGACTTCATAATATCGAAAACCTAGTAGAAAGAGGAAAAAATCACCTATAAAATGTGTGTCCAAGAGAGAGAGTAAAGCCTAATGCCGAGTTTGATTCGAGCCCAAGCGACGAACCTGTAACCTTGCTAGGGTTTCAATCGACGAAACTGTAACGAAGTAGCTCCAGAGAGCGAGAGTAATGAGACTCAGAGAAGGGTTACAATCGTTGCTAGGGATTTCGAATGATGATATTCAGAGGAGAGGAGGGTTTTCAATCGATGAAACAGAGGGAAGGGAGAGAAACGGTGTAATTGTTTCATATTTCCCCCCTTATATATGGATGGGCATTTCAGTCTATTCATGCTATTTTTTTAATTGAGGGCTTTTGGGGCCATTGTTTTCATCCATGGGCTTGAGACAAAATAGGCCCCATGGAAGGGGCTACTCACCAAAAATCCCATATTTTTATCCTCAAAAGTGAAAATATATTATTACATAAAAGCATTGGGCTGCAAATTCAATCGGTAGGAAAAGATGGTCCGAGAAAGTAAATAAATGACGGCTAGTGATAAAATTTTAAAATATCACTGGTTAATGTATTTTTAGTAATAAAATAATTTGGTGTTAAAAAGGTTTATTTTTTGACAAAAAAATTGTTCTAAAAAGGTAGCAATTTATTATTAAATGTCTAGTTTTATCGCTAAAAATACAACAATGAATTTTTTGACAACTAAAATATTTTGTTTCTAAATTTTTTTCTCTAAAAATTGTTATAGTGATCCAAACCATTCATTTGTTGTAATAGTGATGCAAAGCGCACTGTTCATTTGTCCTAAAAAATCATTCACCATTCATTTTGTATGACCCTCCTAAAAAATCATTCATACCAAAAAATAAAGCTAAATTTTTGTTTTTTAAAATAGAATTTTCCATACAGAACAACATGGCCGTATATGATCCTCTCACTTCAATGCAAAGCCCACCATTGTGGTTCAAGATTGTAAAAATGCAATTATCACATCATTTTGTATGAATTTTATGCATAGTAATTCTGTTGGTAAATTTTATTTATTTTTATTTGGTATGAATAAAGATATATAAATACAAATATGTATGTAAACACACAATTTATATTGAATATGACATAAAAGTGATGCAGACGATCTTATTACCCAATTATGAAAAAATTTAAAACTCAAATAGAGATGTAATAGTAAATAAAATGAAAAGTGGTTCACAAATTAGCAATTAATTAAGCTCTTAAATAAGAAAAGCATACCTTGTCGTTGAAGAGGGGTTGAATGATGGGATCACAATTACTCTCTGAATCTGAAGCAGGACAGAGACGCTTCAGCTTTGGCATATTCAACAGTGACAAGGAACTCAGTTGTGGCAGCTCAATTGCATTCATAGCTTTGCAGATACCAGTAGAACTTGGCAGGTCTCGGAGATGCAATTTCTTTAGTTTAGGAAACTCGATTTTATCTGTTGTTATTGCTGCTATTTCATGCTCTCCTCCTTCACTCGAAACAATTTCTTCCATCATCTCACAGAAAACTATGGAAAGGTCCTGCAGTTGCACTAGATCTCTAGCTATGGAAAGTGAGAACATACTTTCCAGACTACAACAACCCACTACTACAGACGTCAGGTTGCCGAGCCATACAGGTTGGGTGGGACCCTTCCACAAATTTGCCAGTTCAGGCAACCACTCTAATCTCAACACTTTCAATGCACTGAAAGCCTTGTTCGGTAGTTGGCATTCATGACTAGTAATCCCTTTGAAATTCTCTAGATGACGAAGTTCCAGAAACTCTAACACAGGGAAAGCACTCTGTGGAACCCCATCTGCTGTATTGATGAGGTATTCCAAATCATACAACTCAACTAGTGACAAATTCGTTAAGCATTCAAAACCATCTTCGCCGACCAAATCACAGAGAATTTTCAAATCTTCTCCACTTGAGTTTAAATTCAGAATTCCAGTGCTCTTCAACAGCAAATTAAACCCTGTTTCACTAATGTCACTCACGTTTTGGAGCAATATCCAAAGCCACCAAATTGGACAAGGACGCCAGCTCATCGATAATTGCTTTAGCACCTTCTTTGCTTTCTTCTACTTCACACCAACTTTGAAAGATAGACCCAACATACAACTCTTCTAGCTTTGATAAGCTTGACAAAACCCCTGGGTAAATCTTTTCCACTACACATCCCAACAAATCAAGTACCTTCAAGTGAGCAAGGAGACCTATTATTTCTTTTGGCAATTCCTTGATATAAGAGTTGCCAAACCTCAAAATTTCCAGGTTCTCTAATGCTCCGATAACAGAGATACCATCATCAATAAGTTGGCAACGAAAAAGTGACAAGGTTCGGAGGTTGGTCAAGCATCGAAGTGATGTCGTCAATGAGCCGTACATATCGGATAAAGCTAGCAATTTAAGTTCTTTCATTCCTTGGTAAAAACTATCTTGGGTCTCTCGTACTTTGACTTCCTCCATTCCTTTGTTGAGATCACCTAATGAGATTGGTAGTAATCCAGTATTGCAATCTAGCTTTAGAAGATGGAGATTTGGAAATTCTAAATTACCAGGAAGCTCATGAATACCATCAACTTTTAATGAAATTATAGCTTTTTTTTCGAGTCGGTCTTTCTTGGGCCATTCTCTCAATATTTCATCACATCTCACGACAATCGAATGCTCCTCCCTAGATGCAATTGATATAGCCACATCACGTACGACATCATGCATTTTGATACACTCTACATTTTTCCCATCAATGGATACTCTTCATTTTTACTTTCCATCAATAGATAACATTTTTTTAAGTCATCAACTAAGGAATGTACTCCGTTTCTTGCTTGGTGCACACTATCAATGCGTTCAAACAACTCTATCCCAATCGCATATCTAACGAGATCTTCAATTGGAATATCAAAATCTTCCGGATATAAAGAACAGAGCAGAAAGCATTTCTTGGCTTCATCACTATCAAGGGAATCATAACTCAACTCTAGAGATTTAAACACCTTTTCATCCACTCCACTAATGTTTTTGACCAATGACTTTCGTAATTGTTCAAGAGCAGAATCCCATGAATACTTGTTTTTGCATCTAAGTGCCCTCCCGACTGTAGCAATAGCAATCGGCAAGCCTCCACATTCCTTCGCAACTGCCATCTGTGTCAACTGCAAACCAGTTGGGTGACTTGTACCTTCGTCCGAAATCTCAGCCATCTCCTTGAAAAGATTCCATCCTTCTTTATGTAAGACGCCAATCTCAAAATTCTCGTGTGTGCCCATGCTGTTGCATACATCTTTATTTCTTGAAGTCATTACAATTTTGCAACCCTTGTGATTATCTCCAAATGGAATTCCAATGTCATTCAATTCTAGTCTCTTCCATACATCATCCAATATTACAAGGACTCTTCCAAAGTTCAATATTTTTGATCGTATCTTCCCCGCTCCAGTTGGTAAATTGTTTCCCCCAAAATCTTGTAAATCCAATATTTTGGCTATCTGGCCTTGAATAGTAATCAAGTTTGGGTTTTGGGACACTACTACCATCACAATAACATCGAACATTTTTTTTTCTTCCACTTTCTTGGCAACTTCATTCACCATAGTTGTCTTACCAACACCTCCAATCCCACATATCCCAATCACATAGATACTATCATCTGTCAGTGCCTCCATAACTCCATCATAATCGATCTTCTAGATTCAAACCCCTTAAAACATCCAGTGAATGCAAATGTTGTCCCCACATAAGGTACAACTGTAGGATAGGACGCTGTGGAGAAAACTCCTTCTCTACGTAGCTCTTCCACACTTTGAGTTTTCTTTGTAGCTTTTCTGCTCAAGGAATAGCGTGACTTCAAATTTGGACACCACCCATTCAGACACCCTTTGTTTGCTTTCACTTCAACCTCGAGGAATTTCTTAGCCTCTTCGTTGAGGTCGTTCACTGTTTTCAACCACCGCTCGACACCTGGTGCAATAGTTTCTCTCTTTGCCTCTGCTTCTTCAACTGATTTTTGTACTCCAAATCTTTTATCTTCCAGCTTTTGGACCTGCTTCTCCAGATTCTTAATGGTTCTGTCATAGAAAATCAAATAACCAAACTGGCGGCCAACTGGGGCTACCAGATGTTTTCCAATCTTCATTACTATGGGAAGAACAATGTCCACGATCATGGTCATTTCTCCCACGTTTTTCTTCCGAGGATAGTGAAACTTAAAATGTAAAAGAGTGGAACACAACAAAAAGGGATTTCTACAACAATCAAAATAGAAATGAGGAAACTGAGCTTTGCAAATCGAAATAGAACAAAGAGAGTAATACTATTTTGCGGAGGATGTGAAGACTGGGTATCCTATGTGTATCACCTTTCCTCTCTATAAATGAGAGTGTTGTAAATCATATCAATAATAATATTCATCAATACAATTTATTCTCTCCTTCTCTCTCTATCAATTTATCTTACACGGAGCTTTTGTACTATAACAGAAACAGAAACCGAGAAAGGGAGAATGAAAACAGAACACACAACAGAATATTATTCTGATAATTGTTCAACAAGAGTTCTGATAGACTTGTAGTAAAGAAGATAATAAAACTCTCTAAAATCAAAAAGGGATACACAGTTTTTTTTTTTTTTTTGGTATGCAACACTAGAACACAATAAAATTGACGGCAGAAAGTAAAGTGTTTTTTTCTCTTTTTTTGGGGGGGATAAGAACCAATGATAAAAAGAGAGAGTAATAGTGTATGATTGAAGGAGGAAATGAGGAAAGAAAAACCTTTTTTGAGATTTTGCAGCGTCTGTTACAAATAACTCGGCGGCAGTGAAGAGTAAAGCTTTTCAGGAAGGAAGAGACCAGAAGAAATCAAATAGAAGCACTGTATCAAAAGCCAAACAATGAACCTGATAATAGGGGGTTTGTTTAACTTAGGAAATTCTATTGTGCACACCTGTTATGGTATGTATTTTAAGTTATACTATTTTTTTTTCAGTTAAGATCTTATTTTAGTTATGACTAATGAGATCTTTAGTTATACTTTATGTGTTATTTGGTTATGATTATTATTGTGTTTTTATTTTAGTTATGACTTAGAAAGTATGAAATTATGTCATTTTTTAATTATAAGATGCATATATATATAAACTAAAATTTATTTTGTCTTTAAACTATTGAATATATTAAATATCTAAAATATTTAATTCAAATATATTCGGTCGGATTTGGTTCCAAAATTTTCGTAGTTTGGTTTAGTTTCAAAATTCATGAAATCATAAGTAATGGTTTTGTCTTGGTTTAGTCCTAAACTGAAACATTACGAACCATACTCATTCCTAGTTTTGATATCTGAACCATTCATTTTGTAAGATTCTCAATTTATTTCATCCACGCAAAAAATTAATCCAATTTAATAATCGTAATCTTTTTATTTCATTGTATTAATCTTCGAAAAATAAATGATAAATATATTTTTTTAAATAGACTATTCATTTTTTAAAAACAAAAATAATAAAATTAAAATGTTATTATTATCGAATCGAAATAATTTTTTTATGTATGATTAGGGGTGGGCTCGGGTCGGTTGCGGCCACGGAACCTCTAATCCGCCATCCGTCCGCCAAATTGGCAAATTGAAAAATATCAATCCGCATCCGTCCGCCAATCCGGCGGATGTGGATTGAGCGGATTGGCGGATGGATGCGAATCGGTTTGGCGGTTTAAAATTTAATAAATTTTCAACATAATTCAACTTGTGCACTTCCTCAAAAAAAAAAAAGAAGAAGAAAGTAAAAATATTACAATCACTGCATGCCTCATCCAAAGCAAGAAAGTTTGAAACTTTAGAATATCACAATCACTGCATACCTCATCTACATACTACAATCACAGCATGCCTCATCCACATAAAGTATTACAATCTGTGATTCTTAAAATATAAAAATATTTAAAACCACCAAAAACTATGAACAGAGCAGTAGTAGAGATTGTATGTCTCTGTATTGTTACATCTATATCTGTTTTTGAAAACAAAAACCAACCAACATATATCATATTTTCTATTTATTATTTTTAGAGATAGATTTAAAAACCAAAAAATATAGATAAATAATACGTTTATTTTTCTCAATTCAAAAAAGACATTCAAGTTGAAAACTTTTTTTCAACAGAATATTTAAACAAATTGAAAACACAAAATCTTATAAATCACTAGGGGTGCTCGCGGTTGGCGGTTCGATTGCGGCCAAAGAAATCTCAAATCCGCCATCCGTCCGCCAGATTGGCGAATTGGAAAAAAATCAATCTGTAACCGTCCACTCATCATCACGCATCCGTCCAAAATGTGACGGATCGGTTCGGTTCGGTCCGGTCGGTTTTGACGGATCGGTACATCCGCTGCTCACTCTTATGTATGATATACATTAAGAATCCTACAAAATGAATGGTTTGAATCATTGAAACAAGACTCGTAATAAATCTCATGGCCTTTTAATTTTTGCCATGTTAATATATAAATATGAAAGAAATCCAATCCTTTTAAAGTAATGTTTCATTTCATTTATTAATTAACTCCTAAAATTTGAACACAAAAGTGAGTAAAGACGTCGCAATCTTGTTAGAGAAGTATTAAATAATTTTGAGTGATGCTATAAAATAAAAAATAAATAAATTTTTTTTAAAAAAAAATTAGAAACATTGGGCCACAAATCCCATTTCAAAGAGTTATTTAAGGTTCAATCTTGCACATAATTTTTAAAGCTCTCAAGTTCAATTGTATCTGGGTGTTGTGTACTTTATTATTTGAAATATTGTTGACATTTTTTTTAAAATTTTTTACTTAAATTTATAATATAAACCCAATCTACAAATACGTTTATGAAGTAAGATTTTTAGTTTAAAAAACTAGAAAATTAATATAAAAAATTTTAAAAAATCAAAATTATAAAAATTATAAAAAATAAAAATAAAAATTCTTTATCATAGCTTGCGTGCCGACTCTTTCCATGCAGATAATTAAAAGTGACCAATTAAATTCTCAATTGCTAGTGGTTAAGTATGTCGCCTCTATCGTTCTGATTTATTTGTATATATTTTTTTTTAAAAAAAGGTCCAAAGAAATTCTTTTCCAAACTGTTTTCCTTCATTGATTAAATGTCTCAACTTTACTTTGATTTTATTAAGGAAGATGGTGTTGTTAACGTGTGTGGTTTCGAGGGACCAATCAAATTCTTTTCCAATTTCTTTTCTTTCATCAAAATTAGAAGAACAATACTATATGCACTAATTGGTATATAAATTAGTGTATTAATAGATGATATGTCATAATTTTAGAGATTTTCAGTATTTATAATTTATACAATGGGTGAAGTCAATAATAATGTCATAAAATATATTAGTACACTAGTTAGTATATCAATTGGTGTATATAACACCACCGAAATTAGATTGTTTCAACTTTATTTTCATTTTATTAAGGAAAATAGCCTTGTTAACGTGTGATTATGAGGGACAAGTGAAATTTCTTCTAGTTTCTTTTGTTTTTTTGTTTTTCATTAAAATTAAAATATTTTAACTTTACTTTCATTTGAGATGATCTTGTAAACGTGTGCGGTTTTAAGATGACTTAAGGGCTTTTTTTTTTTTTTTTTGCCAATAATTAATTGTTAGATTACTACTTTGGGATAGTTAAAACTTACACCTATACATCTTGTAAGAAAATCTTATCCTCTCATTTCACTCATAAGAATAAAATTTAAGAACTCCCCTTTAAAAGAAACTTAGTGGCCAAAAAATTAACCAATTAAGTTAGAACCCTTGGTTATGACTTAAGAAAGTTATGGTTTTATAACATTTTAAAGTTTCTTAAAGACATATGTTGATGGGTTGAGGGGTGCTATTATGACTAGCAGTAACTACTGTGAATTTTGAAGGAAGTCTATTTTAATGATTTAAGTCGGTCAAATTATTAAATTTATCAAACATATCATTTATCTATAAAATTAAGTTAATTGAATATGTGTAATTCCATAATCAAGTTCTAATTATTTTAAAAACCATTATCAAAATTATGATAACCGTTTGATTTTTTTACAAAATATGAACTTGTTATGGGACTATAAATATCCAATTAACTCGATTTTTTACATGACTAATTTATTTGACGAATATTACAATTTAAACAGTCCGGATAATCAAAATAGGTTTGAAATAAAACTTCACTGAGCTTGCAGCAGTGATTGTTGTGACTAAGTTATCACAGTAGCAGGACCGGTTCCTATGTTAATACAATTTTTATTAAAATTGGGCATGTTTAATGGAAAATGTCTCTTTAAATTTGACCCATAATGGTATAGCATGATATGTATCAATTATGAATTTGTAACGCACTCTAATACATAAACTCAACTATTTTGTTACATCATTATGAATTAATTTGTGAGCTTCAAATTTAGAATTTCTAATTATTTCTCTTGTTTAATTTTTTAAAATTTTATTATTATATATTACATTAATTATGAACGAAATTTTATAAAATTTATTAATTTGTATAAAACTTTTCTACTCTCTCTGTCCAAAAATATTAGTCCTTTATTCCATTTTTCATTATTCCAAAATATTAATTCCTTTTCAAAAATTAAGGACTAAAATAATATGAATTTCTTATTTTGCCCTTTCTTTTAAATATATTAACAACATAAAAAGTACAATTATGACAATTGATATTTTTCAAAATATTACTATCAAATCAAAGGATAATTTTGAAAAATTAATATTTTTAAAATATAATAATTGTATTACTAAAAAATTAAATTCTTTAAAATGAATTATTATTTTGAGATGAAGGAAATCCTTGATTTGGCCAACTAACCATGTGAATGGTCCGTAACTGTATTGCTTTCAATGCATGGGTCATTACTACACTACAATTTTATTATTATATATTAAATTAATGGGTCCGGCTTTGGTCCAGTTCGAGATCGGATTGGAAGGTGTTATTGGGCCTGTGGAGGCCCATCATGGGTACTATTTTGATAATTCGAACCGTTTAATATGTAGAACTCGTCAAGTATTATATGTTTATAAAAAATTACGTTGATCGGATATCGATAATTAACTAGTGAATGGTCGGTAACCGTATTGCTTTCAATGCATGGGTCATTACTAAACTACAATTTTATTAT